CCCAGTGATGGGTCAATCCAGCTGCTTGTTCCTAGGGGCAGATGCCAAACAGGGCTGCACTTCCCTTGAAAATGGAGACAGCCTTGAGGAACCCAGGGAGTACATAGTTGCAGAGCCTGGGAGTTCACATTGGCAACTGGGAGGAAGCTCAGAAACTCTCAGAGATTTCACACACTGTGTTTCTTCTGACTGGGGTTTGCTTCAGTGTGTCTTTGTTTTCTAATTTTTCTCATGATTTATTTTTGTTTCATTTTACAAGGTAGAGCCGTCAATGGATTGGATGTAAAAACAAACTGGTGCTTCCTCAGAGATTGGTAGAAAGTATTGCTGTCAAGGTCAGCAAAGCAAACATCCAAACAACCAGCAAAAAAGGTGAAAGAGGAAGAGGAGGAGGAGGAGGAGAAGGAAGAGGAGGAGGAGGAAGAAGAGAAAGACAGGGAAAAGAGAAGGAAGAGGAAGAGGAGGAAGAAGAGGAGGAGGAAGAGGAGGAGGAGGAGGAGAAGGAAGAGGAGGAGGAAGAGGAAAAGAAGAAGACGTAGGCACAGATGCTTCCCCCATATCTGAAATTATGAAGTCTGCAGCGTTATGATTAAATTGCCGTAACTAAGTGCAGCAGTTTTAAACACTTCAAATGCCCAGTTAGCAGGAAAGAGTTTTTGTAAGGTTCTGAGATATTTCTTTAATCATAATATATTTTTGGAAATATGATGAAAAAGATTACTTAGCATAAGATAAGCATCAGTTTTGCTGCATAAAATTATCTAACATGGTGTTAATCTGCTCTTCCCTGTGTATTTTGCAGTTTCCTTCTAGCCCTTTCTCCCCTTCCCTCCCTCCTTTCCCCATTTTTCTTCTTTCTTAGCTCCACCTTCTTTCTTACCCAGTTAGAGGAACAGGAGCACAGGCACTCATCTCTACCCTGCAGACAATGAAATAAATCTGAGGATTTCCACTTCATAACCTAGGGTTCCCCTTTGGCTACCCTATCCCTAAAAGTCACTTGAGTAACAGATCACTAAATTATTTTTAAAATCTTTATTGTTTGTTCGGAACATGGGGCTCAGGCTCTTTTTTAAAAGAAGAAAAGAGACAAGAAAAAGGAACAAAATCCACCCAAAGAGGTATAATTGTTTCTTGTTGCATTCACTAATTGGAGGATTGAAGCCAGAGAAACTTAGAAATTAGAAACCGTCACAGAATTTAGACTTGGCTTTGCCGGAAGGAATTATGGAGCGCTTAATTAATTTATCCTCGGCTTCCTGAGATTGCTCCTAATCTCGTCTGGTGTTGACCAGCGGTGCGTGGTGAGGCAGAGAGTAAATACCGAACACATTGTGCAAGAAGTGGATTCCTTTTATAAGATAAAATGTGCCTGGATTGTTACAAAGCTATTTTCTGAAAGTGAAGTGTGTCGGGCGAGGGGTGGGAGATGGAGGAGAAGAGCCGAGTCCCTCCTGGATACGCTGGAAGCAGGGCTTCTCTCAGAAGGGGGTGCTGTTACCTCGCAGCTCCAAGAGGCTGGGTGCCGTTTCCAGGGAGAAGAGGCCCTTCTTCTCTGTGCCCTTTTCTCCCCTGATTACTTCTGGATTGTAGCATTTGAGGGGAAAAGTAGAATGGATAATATTTAGGATGCCTCGATTTATAAATTTTAAAAGCCGGCTGGGTAGGAAAAGCTTTCTAAAGATAAAGTGGAAAGCTCAGCCAGAAGCCTAAGTGAGAATCAGCTTTATACCTCCACCCATCCTCACAGCAGACAGCCTTTCAGTTCCAACAACATCCCAAGTAATGTTCTACCCAGCACTCAGGAGACAGAGGCAGGTGGATCTCTGTGAGTTCTTATTTTGATATATCACAGTGAAAGATTTATCGTCCTCTTTTTTTTTTTTTTTTTTTTTTTAAAAAAAAAAAAAAAAAAAAAAAAAAAAAAAGGAAGAATCAAAGCTCATGTCAGTATGTCAGTCCCGCGAGGTCTCCAGGATCTTAGTTTCATTTGCAGTCAAGTTCTGTAAGCATTGCTTTAAAAGTTTTTTACCTCGATTTTATAAACCTCAGAAAACTGGAGCACCGAATCTCACTGTCACCAGGAGGAATTAAGTGTCAAAGATCAAGTTCATTTCAAATCAGATGAAAGCAGACACATTCTGAAGTTGGCACTATGGTTTTTTTACGTACTGTACTATGGAACTGTTTCTTGTTTCTATGTTAGGTTGGAAACTCTTGTTTGTGTTTCCTCCTTAACACTTAAAAATATGCCTAGATTGGTATGGTGGCTCACATCTGTAGCCTCAGCATTTGGGAGGTGAAGGCAGGAAGATCATGAGTTCACAGTCATCCTTGGCTACATAATGAGTTTGAGGCTAACCTGGGGTATATGAGATCTTGTCTTAACAAAACAAACCAAACAGCAGAACTGCACAACAGCTTTGTTTTAGAACTTTTTAAACAGTTGAGTTCAGTGGTAGAGTTCAAACCAGTTTAAAAATAAGTATGATATTTTAAGATTAGAGGTAATTAAATATCACATACAACTTTTCAATATTAAACATAAAACATATTCTCTAGTCCAAAATGGAATTCTCATCAATAAATAGCATTGTTAGTTACATAGAAATAAAAAGATGAAAATACCAACATGGTACTTGATCCCTTAAAAAAAGAAATATGCAAACTGGGCAGGGCCATACACTCTTGAGAGGTTGAGGCAGGAAGACTGCAGAGTTCAAAGTCAATCTTGGTTACATAGAGAGGCATTGTCTAAACAAAACCACAGGGGCTGGGGAGTTGCTCAGGTAGGAAAGCAACACAATCACGAAAACCTGGGTTTGGATCCCTGGTACCCACGTAAAAAGCTGGGCACAGTGGCACCCATCTATAATCCCAGAGTTGGGGAGGCAGAGACAAAAGGAGCTCTGAAACTCACTGGCCAGCTCCAAAAGCTAGAGAGCTCCAGGTTCAGTAAGATACCCTGCCTCAAAAAATAAGTGAAGCTGGTTGTGCACACCTTTAATCCCAGCATTCGGGAAGCAGGAGCAAGTGGGTCTCTGTGAGATTGAGGCCAGCCTGGGCTATATAGTGTGTTCTAGGCCAGCTAGAGCTACAGGGGGACCCTGTTTCAACAAACAAATGAAAAAACCCAACAACAACAACAAAAATAAGGTGGAGAGATGGAAGAAGATACCTGATATTGACCTCTGGCCTCCACATGCATGTACATACATGCGAGCACATGTTCACCTATCCACATGGCTCCAAAGGTTTAGAGGGGTTTGAACACACCCAAGTATAACACACACACACACACACACACACACACACACACAAATAAAAATAAAAATAAAAATAAAACAAGAAACAGAAAGATAAAAACTATGTGAGTAGTTTTGATGCCAGAAAAGAAAGTGTAAGCAACAGCTTATTAGGTAAGATGCGAGGGTAGGGCCATAAGTTGCTGAGAGTGTTCTGACCCCGCACTTTGTGCCAGGCTTCTACATGAACACACACACACACACACACACACACAAATAAAAATAAAAATAAAAATAAAACAAGAAACAGAAAGATAAAAACTATGTGAGTAGTTTTGATGCCAGAAAAGAAAGTGTAAGCAACAGCTTATTAGGTAAGATGCGAGGGTAGGGCCATAAGTTGCTGAGAGTGTTCTGACCCCGCACTTTGTGCCAGGCTTCTACATGATTTCCATCTAGTACATCCTGTCTGTCAGGTATGTAGCATTGAACTGCTGAGGCCCCATGTTGACCTTCCTGATAAGCCTCAACCACCCTCAGGCAGCTTTCTAATCAGCTTCCATCAGTTTTTTGGTCATGAGACCTTATTTGGCTGTTGTACACTTCCAACAATTCAATGACTGGCCAATGAGGTTACCAGGCAGATCTTGTCATAGAATGGTCTTTGGGGGTCTTTGATTCTGGTCCTCTCCAGAATCAGGGACTGGAGAAATGGCTCAGTGGTTAAGAGCACTTGCTGCTCTGCAGAGGACCTGGGTTCTGTTCCCAGCACCCACATCTGGTGTCTCACAACTACCTGTAACTCTAGCTCCAAGGAAAGCCAAAATTTTCTTCTGGTTTCTGTGGGCACTGGTTTTGTGTGCATACATACATGCAGACACATACACACATATATATATAATAAGCCTTTAGGCAAAAAGATTTAACAGAAATCAGGATTTTAAATCCAAAGGGCACCTTAGAGGTCATCCACCGATTACCCCATTATACAAATGGAGAAACTGAGGCTCAATAGCTTAGGGAGTGACTCCCCAACTCACACCAAGTCAAATCATCTCTGTCTATGTGTCTTTTCTCAGTCACTCAAACATTTACACTTAGAGCATGTTACTAAATGGATATAGAACCTTGTCATTGGTGATGGCTTAGAGCATCTGAGCTGTATGAGGTCTACATAGGGATTATTTTGCTGATGACTAGGGCCAACCAGTCTCATTCACTTGGTACAAAGCTGGAGCAGCTCAAACCCCTAAGAGTTACCCTCCATCATGGCTACACAGTGCCTAAATCATGAATTCAAGGGAACTATCAGCTCTACAAACCATAAGAGAAAAATGTGATTATTCCTGCAGAGCAGGAAATTCATTGGTTTGCTTAGGGTTTTATTATTTTTTTTGTGGGTTTTCTTTGTTGTAGTTGTTGGTTTGTTTTATTTTTTAAGACAGGGTCTCCCTGTAGCTGCATCTGGCCTGGAACTTGCTATGTAGCCCAGGCTGGCCTTGCATCTGCCTGCCTTTTCCTCCTGTACTGGGATTAAAGGTGTGTACCACCACACCCAGCAGGTTATTACCAATTCATTGGTAATTCAGAAACAATGTGCAACATTTCATAAACCTGAAGTGGGGAGGGTCTTCCTCAACATGATTAGGGTCTATACCAAAGCCTCAGTAGTTGCTGAGGTAAATAATAGTGGGGTAAATAGGAATGGTGGTTACTACTGATTTGATGATTGTGACAAGAGAAGAAAGATTCAAAGAGGGATATGAGAAGTGTTTTTAAAATACTATCAGAACCTCAGGCACTGGCCCAAAAGGCCCTCATAGAAACACTGTGACTCATGGGCTCTGTACTCCTTGCCTGGGCTCAGGGATTACTTTGGTCACAGACATTAAAAACAATACTATTAGAATCTGAAAAATATGACCATCCGCATTAAAAAATTAGAAAAATATACATATTTGCATTTCATTTAGTAATGAAGAACCAAGATCATCACAGAGCAAAAACAATGACATTTTTATGAACTAAAAATGTCATTTTCAAATATATATTTGAGACAGGGTCTTACTCTGTAGCCCTGGCTGTCCTGGAACTTGCTATTGTAGACCAGATTGGCCTTGAACTCACAGAGATCCACCTACCTCTGCCTCCCCAGTGCTAGAATTAAAGGTATGTGCTTCTATGTCTGGCTCAAAAATGCTTTTTTAAATAACACAACATAAATGAATTTGTGGACCCCCAAGATGGCTCAGTAGGTAAAGGTGCTTGCCACCAAGCCTAATAACTTGAGTTCAATCCTCAGAATTCACATGGTGGAAGGAGAGAACTGACTTGTGCAAGCTCTTCTCTGACCTCCACACAAGTGTGGTATGTGCATGCACACACACATACACACATACACACACAGAGCGAGCAAGAGAGAGACAGAGAGAGAATGAATTAATTCATGTGAAAGACTTTTTAAAAATGAATTTGTATATTGACCAATGATATTCACCAATCAATGCCAATTTTTCCCCCAGGCATGCAGGAGGATCACACATGTCCACACCCAAACCCAGGTGTAGCCAGGCGATCCTAAGCCTCCTGTATGCAGGTGACACACAGGTATGGTTCTTAGCCATCACTGTGGTGCCGATAAGCCAGCGGCTCATTGGCTAGGTCCCAGCTGGAAGAGTCAGCATCCACTTCTCTGTCCAAAAAGGAAAGATAAGCATTTGTTGTTCACTGAAGTTTGGGAGTTGTTACCTCAAAATCTAGCCTTATCCTGACAAACCTAGAAACTGGCACCAGAAGTGGGATGCTCTGGTTCAAAAAGGATCCTAAAGCATGTGACATTGTCTTAGCAGTTCTTGGATAGGAAGAAAGGAAAGGATTACCGAGGCTGAAGAGGTGTGGATCTATGTCATAATGGATAAAGCACCTATAAGAGATCTTCTGCCACTGCCACAGCTGGATATTCTAGTTTGCGTCTCTGTTGCCGTGATAAACACTGGGACCAAAAGTAACTTGGGGAAGGAAAGAGTTTATTTGGCTTACAGGTTATAGTCCACTATTGAGGAAAGCCAAGGCAGGGACTCAAGCAGGACCTGGAGGCAGGAACTGAAACAGAGGCCACAGAGGAAGGCTGCTCACTGACTCTCCCCAGCTCACATTCAGCTAGCTTTCTTATACAGCCCAGGCCTACCTGCCTAACGATAGGGCATCCAACAGTGGGGCACACCCTCCTGTATCAATCAGCAATCAAGCAAATATCCCACAGACATGGGCACAGGCCAATCGGATGGAGGAAATTCCTCAACTGAGGTTTCAACCTTTTCCCAGGTGTGTCAAGTTTACAACCAAAATTAGCTATCTCACTGGGGAACGAGGCTGTGCGTGTCTTATGGCTGCAGAGGAAGAGGTCCTGAAGCAGGATGCCTGTCCTGGGGGCATCACAAAAAATACCATAAACTGTGGTTCGAAACAAGTTTGTTCTCTAAAAGCCAGAAGACTAAGGCTGAGGTGTGAGCAGGAGAGCAACGCTGCCTTGTGAAGCCCTGGGGAAATGGCTTGTCCCTTCCTGGCTCTCGGTAGCTCACAGCAATCCTCGGCAGTACTTGGCTTGTAGCCCTGAGTCTGCTTCATCTTCACATGGTCATTTCCTTGTGTCTGTCTATACTTTCATGTGGTCTTCTTCCCTCCCAGTGTCTCTGATTCTCTGCTTACAAGGACTCTGGTGATGGAGTTTAGGATAACCATAACCCACTATAAACTCACTTTAACTGGCATGTATCTCCAAAGACGCTACTTCCCACACACTGCACTCACAGACACGAATTACAGCTTCAGCATTTCCTTTTGAGGGACACAATCTAGCCTCAACAGTGGGCTTTGTCTGTGTCTGGCAAAGCATCACAAGGAAGAGCTGAACTCAGAAAAGAACTGGCTAATTTTCAAGCAGGAATCAAGGAATAGAAGTGACCAATTCGCTCCAATTAGAAAAGACAGTTGCTTCTCCACTCCAAATAGTGAGGAGTAAACTTGGAGATGCATTGAACCACTGTGATGCTTTGGAGTTCAGCCTGTCAGCCCTGTCAGTTCAGGATGTAGTCCTGACACCTCTTAGTTAGACCAATGTGGACAGGAGTGACCTTGGTCAGTGACTGCTTAGAGCGGATAAAGGGGCTCACCAAGCAGGATGGGTTGAATTCCCAGATCTTCTAGGGTTGGGAGCACATGGCAAAAGGTGAAGGGACCCAGCAAGCCCACCAGAAAGGTCAGAGGATGACTGGGTGACACTTGGCATGTGTGACTCAGGAAGGCCGAATGCATGGCTAGCTAGCTAAGCTTTTAAATATTGTGGCCTAAAGAACTGCCCATCTTGGCCAAAAGAGCTGTGACCCTAGGGACTTGAAATAAACTTTGGCTCCCACCATCCAAGAGCAAGAAGGGAACTGGGAAGGAATATCCTGATGCCCATATCAAATGTGGCCACGGGGGACAATAGAAGGCCAAGGACCTGAAGAACAGTGAGCCAGTAGCCAAGGGCAGAGTGAGGACATACTCAGGAGACACTGCCCCCACAGGTGGGGTCCACACATACCCCATGTGGGGTTTCATCAGGAGACATACTCGCCAAGGGTGAGAGCCTCATAACATCCTTTAGTGGATTTTAGAATTCTGGACCAGTAGCTGTACATAGCTCCTACCCTGCTTGTGAACTGTTTTCTCTGTGTTTCTGTTATAAACCTAGGTGTGAGGAGAAGGTGACTTGTGTGCCTTGAGTCATCTGCTATAAGGAGTTGGATCTGGGCCTGGAGCTGGATGTACTGGACATCACTCAGAGTTGCTGGACTCTCATCCAGGAAAGAGAGTGGACCAAGTTTCTGGTGACAAGGAGCATAAGCAGAGGCAGTGACTGGTGCTGCCCACCAGAATGTGTCCTAGTCTACAGTGCCAAGGAGTCTGGGGCAGCTGAAGGATAGGCTTTGGCCAATGAGCAAGAGTGGGTAGGACCCTGGCACTTCCAGGCAGAAGTGGTGAGGTCCAGTGTGCAATGTGCCCTGTGCACTCACAACCGGCACCTGGGTCATGAGTGACTCCCAAGTGGGTCATGAGTGAGCTGCGGTATCAGTGAACCTCTGTCCTTACTGGAAACCTGACAAGCTGCAGCTTAAGGGAAGAAAGACTCATTTGGGCTCATGATGGGGGAAGGCATGTCAACAGGAAAAGAGAATGGCTGTGGTGCTGGGAGCTCTGTCTCCTCTGGGCAGATTAGCAGCTAAAAGGAGGATACAGCTGCTTGACTTGCTTTCTCCGATTTCCTCTTTAACTGGGGACCCTAAGCTATGGGATGCTGTTGCCTACCCTAAGAATGGGTCTTATCTCAGCTAATCTTCTTTGGAAACACCCTCAGACACAGATGGGTACATAGCAAAAGGAAAGGGGGACCTCTGAGGCTTTAAGTCACTGATCTCAGCTGTGCAGTGGCCACGAGCTCGCCACCTAGCCTGTTCTAAATAGCACAGTCCCAAGACAGAAGCAACACCAATGTAAAAACATAGCCAGAAAATCAGGCTCAGCCGGCCAAATCAACACCTGTGCTTACAAAGGCTCACTGTCAAAATGAGGTTGATTTTTCTTGGGTGGGTTTACTAACTTAATTTCTAACCACTTATCCCAATGTGGATAGTTGGGGACAAGTCTCAAGAATGACTGTTAGAGATAAATGGTCAAGGGTTGGGAACAGCTCTACCAGATAACAAGATTCATAGGCTAATCGGGTTCCACTAGGGACCCTGTGAAATGTGTGAGACAAGGATATTGTTAGGTGTGCAAGACTTTGTAATTATGGGAGGAGCTGAGGGAGTAGAGGACCAGAGGACAGTCACTAACCAGAGCTCCTGATCAGAGCAGATGATTGTGGCTGCATGCACCTATTCTGTGTTCTGGGTTCTGTAGGGGAATCCCTCATAGGGTTTTCCTTCTCTAAGCAACCCAGTCTTGATCCTGAACAAAGAGACCTTCCCAGTCTGGGTGATAGTCATTCTTACTATAGAGCATTGCTTCTCCAAGTCCTTGCAGCTCCAGGGTTTTATAAAGTCAATGTTGTCATACATAAAAGTAATCACTAATGGATCAATCACTTGTGAGCGGAGCACCCAGATATCCTCCGCACTGCCAACAGCTCCTCAGATGCAAGACCAATACATAGCACACGGTGAGGAGAAGGCTGGTATTGCTGTAGATATGGCTCACTCTGCAAAGTCAAAGATGCTTCTAGAAGTCATTGGCCAATGCTGATTTGGGTGAAGTGAACTGATAGGAGAGACTCAACAGGAGGCTGGCCCAAGGGCACCTCCACAGAGATGACTGGAACTCAGGAGGAGGAACTCTGACGAGAGCCGGAGAAGTCCTCATGTTCTTCAATCTTCAAGGCAAAATTCACATAACCAGGTGGTGTATATTGCTCCTTCATAATTTTATTAGAAAAAAATTCACATGCAAGATATGTATCTATATGTATGTAGATGGACGTACTTATTAATTGATGTTTTGCCTAAGAAGTAATCTATAGTTGCATTTGTTATATCTTTATTATAGTAAGTCTTCTATTTTTTTTTTTTTTTTTTTTCTTTTTTGAGACAGGATCTCCCTGTAGCCCTAGCTGTCCTGGAACTCACTATGTAGAACAGGCTGGCCTCGAACTCACAAAGATCTCCTGCCTCTGCCTCCCAAGTGCTGGGATTAAAGGCGTGCACCACCACGCCTGGCTAAAGTAAGTCTTCTTATAAAATCATATTTCCTTCTAACAAGCTAAAAGTCTCAAATAATGCTTTCCCAGCTTGCTGTAAAGTTTTGGCCTCCATCTTTAAAAGGTTTGTGACTGTTCTCAGCACTAATTTCTCT